TTCGTTATCAGTATGACTCTGGAGCCGAAACGGCTCACTTTTGACTAGGAGTCTCTATGCAAAAGTTTTTCATCACAATGTGTCCCATAAAATCCTGAAGTTTGGCACAACCTTTTTGGAACACCCTGTATATCTTATATATATAGTAAGCAAATAGATAAAAAATATGCTGTCACATTCGACTTTTAAGACCAGAGACTTGAGCCAGTTTGAGAATAGTTTTTATAAGGAAAACAGAGTTATAGTTATTATTCTCCCTTGAATAGATAATATCTACTTTCTCAGGATGATATATTTCTGGTAGGGCAAAATTATAAACTCAACCCTTGGACTAATCCTTTTGACATCGAGTTATTTATTAGTATGAGTATCCAAAAGATGCAAATATTTACGTTATTTTATATTTTGTTCTGATAATCATAAATTAGTTACATAAAAAAGATTATTTTATTAATGTATTGTAGTCCGAACATAAAATGTAACTAAATTCAGTCGTCTAAATAAATACAATATTTGTAATGATAACTTCATCAGCTGCATTTATATAAATGTGGACCTCGGAGCAGGTTTGCAATATTTTGTAAAATACCTCCGACTAGTTCCAGTAAACGATTCAACCTCGCACAACCCCTATGAAATGAATTAACGACTATCCTCTATCAGTACTGAATTGATAATAATTTACAGGAAAAATTGTCCAATTATTCCAATATGAGGGTCCAAACCAAATAAAACAGTTCAGATATTCATTACTACCCGTATATATGTGGAAACAAGTTAAATAATACAATTGCATTTGTACTTTAATTCATTATTAAAAGAAACAATATGTTGGCCGGACTGCCGTATATACTCCGTCTCAACTGTAGAACAAAGGGTAACAAGGTAAGCGTTGTCCCGTTTGCTGTACTTTATAAAATTCTAATGACGCTTAAAAGCATTTCTGAAAACGAAAGACGAAGACGTTTTTTTTCACCTATCCGACCAGGGAACGATATATTATAAAACTGGGAAGAGGTCGGGTGAGCGACATAAACGATAGGCAATTGAGAAAGATCGAAAGTTAAATAATGTACCTACTAACAAAATTTAAAATCTTACCGAATTATAAACTCAAATCTTTACTCCCCAGATATCTTTTGATACCAATGCATTAAAAACAAACAAGACGTTTTTATCTATGGACTATTGTCGTTCAAAAATTCACCCATGTTTCAAAAACAAATCTATAATTTTTCGAAAAGATATCTACGAAGCACAAATATCACCAAGACTACCAGAGCCATAGAAAAACAGTCGCAGATGACCCACTATGAAGATAGGAAGGCACCACGCGAGAAAACGGGATTTCACCCACGTTTCCAAAATTTCCGAAAGAAACCCCTGCGAAGCCCTGATTGCCGCCAATGCAGGATAGCGTGAAAAACTTCAAACAAAATTTTATAAGTCCAAATATTTCAAAATGCGAACTAAAGCAAAGCCTTGGTGTCACTATTAATCAAATACAGACTCACAACTCCTTGGAGACGGCCACAATCTATACACAAACATTTTTCCAAAAAGCAATTTTCCAATTCTGATACTGACCTCGCTAAAGGCCCCCCTGCGAAGCCAGCATAGCGAGCATTCGGACGTCTACCCAGGAACCATGCAGTTCAATAACCAGAGTTGGATCCTGGCCAATACATATTGTACCCTCCAAATTTTTTTTGTCAGGCAAATAATTTCAAAGAAGTTATTCCAAAAAAATTTCCATATGTTACGCAAAGCGATCTTTTAAAGCAAGCGTTTTTGTACATAGATCTATAGAAGTTTATTTAAATTACATTGTTTTAATCCCCGAAAAAAGAAAAGTTTGTTATAGTCTTTCCGAAGTCAGTTGAACGCCTGGCGAATAAAATTTATTGACTAAAAGTTTTCTACTAAAAGTAAAAAATTATAATAATTTGTATATTTATAATGGGCAGAAAATTTCTATTATATGTTCATTTGGCCAACGACATATTTTGATTATTTATGTCCTCAAGAAAATTGTATTATATTGATGGTAAGTTTCGTTTTGTTCCGTTTCAAAAGGTCTCCAAAATGCCACGTTGTAATAATATTATTTCTCCCTTTCACAATTGTAATATCAATGATTAATAGAAGGTGCTATGATAAATTAAATTTACCTGAATCACACCAAATTCCACACTGCTCCACTGCACTGCCGGGCAATTTGTCAAACACTTGTCAACAGCCGAGATTTATTGTCCAGTGGCCCAATGCAGCTGTGTTTGTATTTCGTTTGCCCGGGCTCGCATTCTTCAACTGGGCGTATACATTTCTACCACCTCCACGTTTAGTTCGACCATATGGGCATGGCTAAATAAATACGGGAACAAGTTTTTCAAATATTTCAATTTCGAGTTGCTGCATCAGCGATCGAGCCTGGTACACACTGTCAACCTCTTGGTTCTTCAACTGATATCGGAAAGACTATACCATTGAGATAAATTATTCTATTCTACCGAGAAGCTTTGCAATCAAAAAGCACATTTTATGCGGGTATGTAAATTATTTTCTCTTAAATGTAATAAAATAGCATGGCAATAATTTTTATGGAACTGATGCAAAAATGTGTTTACAAACATAAACAAACGTGTGAATTTATTTTATTTTTGCTTATTGAGCCTACCGTCGGTAGTATTTGTCACGACTTAAACATGGCACGCTCCTTTTTGTTTGTGCGTTCATAAATAACGGTACTATAACAAAAGCAGAAATTTAAACAATCTAGTCGTTCGTTTCATCTTGTGTATACATACGCATTCTATTTACGTGAACTACGAAAAAAACGGGAAAATAAAAGCTAGTGCATTCGGAGCGAATTTTAAAATTAATTAGTTATTGACTGCGTTACAATGATTTTTTACTTTTATAATTCAATTTTTCAGAGAATATCATTTAGCTGGGCTGGGAAAAAATTCAATCACATCTGCAGAATTGTAAAAATACATAAACAATTGATTCAAAAGGGATCAAATATTGCATTACCTGCGCTGGAGGCAGTATGAGTAGAAACACACAAAAACATGTTTTGTACAGAAGTACGCTCTGCTATTTTATTATACACATTAATATATACAATGTACAGATATATCTATGTATGTAATACTAGCATCCTTATAGGATCAAATTTTACGGATATCCTGTACTTTTTGAACTTAGGACATAATATTACGCCGTGTTGTTTAACAACTTGATACAACACCACACATCAAATACAATGTTATAAAACTGATAAACATTTACAAAAATATTTAAAAAATGTTCAATATAAGAATAGTGTGGCGCAAACACCACAAAGTGTTTCAAAATTTTGATTGGTATTGTTCAACATTGACTTGTAACTTTAAATAAAATAGAAACGCGAGTAAACTGTAACCTGAGGGGTTATTTCTTCATTTATGACCAGTATCATAACGATATTAACTTGTAAAAGAGTCTACTATGTAATTCTCGAAAGGGAGTTTATAATTATCATTATCTTATAATTATCATTACTTTAATTAATTTTAACTTAGAAATGTTGTACGTTCAGAGAATGAATACTAGACACTTACTGTATATCGCTCATGTGCAAGGTAATCCAGTGGTTTACAAGAAAGAAACACCAAAACTTCCAGGAAGGGTTTTAATAACAATAAAAACAAAACAAACAAGCAAAATAACGACACAACGGGCTCGAATAACATTATTAATTACTTTATTGACATGCGACAGCGTACCGAGATTCAGGGAATGCGCGATTCATAGAAAAATTTGGAATGACTTTATCCATTATTAAATTATCACGAGACTCTAAAACATGTTCTTAACTTACTGGCGGGAACCCTGAATATCGGGACGCTTTGGCATAATTATGCTCAGCATGGCTTACAGATGGCTCCAAAATGACCAGAGGGACGGGTGCAGGAATATATGGACTCAGACCCAGATGGAGTGCAAGCTACAGTCTGGGGGAGTTCCCTACTATATTCCAAGCAGAAATTTTCGCGATAATGGCGTGTCTGGTAGAGAATGTACGTAGAGGTTATAAACGTAAACTCATATATATATATTCTCTGATAGTCAAGCTGCAATTAAAGCTTTAGCCGCACACAAGGTAAGTTCAAAACTGGTGTGGGACTNTATATATATATATATATGTTTATCAATCGGCAGTTATTGGAACATATTCAGAGATATACCGGCAGTTGGTAGGACACATGGCAGTTTCGGGGTCAGTCCTAACAACATTTTTTATCTATCAGTCATTTCGGGGACATGTCCTGAAAAATACCTTTACCTACCATAGTAAAATTTTCTAGTAGGTAATAATTTTTACAATGTAATTCACTATGTGCAATGCTACCTACCTACTTTTACGTAAAACTTAAACACTTTCAGTGTAAACTAAAGTTCCTCTGTCAGATATTTGAATTGTGAAGTCAAGAGGATAAAGTATGTATAAGTAAGTTATGCTCCGATTATTAATTATTACATAAAGCACCTGATTTGATTGCTATTTCAAAAAAAAAATACATTTGCAATTACCGTTACCAAATATATTATTCTTATGTAGTAATTAATTATTAATAAATTATAATAACATTAATACTTTAATCGATACTATTATTAACATGACAAAGTATATCTGCGACTCTTGTTTTATTCATGTCAATTTAAATTTTAACAATAACATTCAAAATTTAACTAGGTTCAAGATTGTACAAACTTTACTTGTGCTTTACCTTGGATTTTGTGGGTGACACATAGAAAGGAATTATTAATTATTCGCATCAACTTATTTCTACAAATTTATTAAAACAGATTTATTTTCGGTCCGCTTTTTCTGAACGAATATCTTGATCTAGAGTACTCAGGAGTACTATAAAAGTTATTCATCTCAACCCTATTATCAAACGTCAACGAACGTACTCCTAGTGCAGTGACAGTGACACTTGCATATGATTTGAACTTGTTCATATCCACTAATTATCCAGTGATTTCGCCATGGAGACTACACATTCGCCCTGCTGGTGTTAACTTTTTTGTTCTTAATTTGTTATCGGCAGTCAAAACAATACAGTGATCCATATGTTTTTTGGCTAATCTGATATTGGGTAAACACTATTGTTTAGTTAACCTTACCAACCAGCAGATATAACTAAATTTATGAGTGATAATTGTATATTATACTGTAGATTTGTTTCTGGGTCAACCAACCCCCTTCCCATTCAAAAGTATTTCTTCATTCATACAACCTTAAGATTAGTAAGTACCTATATATAACTTTTTAATCAGTTATAAATATTTAAATAACTCTCACCGCAGGTGTCAAGTGATTATTTATATAATACCTAATGATTAATTTGCCTGATCAAAATAAAAAATACAAAAAGTAATTACTAATTGGACTAGATAAGTTTAGTCTTATATTTCTATAGCTTTGTAACTTAAAAATTAACTTAGCCCGCTAGATACTTTATAATTGTGGCTGTACACGAAAATGGAAGTGGTAAATTAATGAATGATAACTAGGCATACTAAATATTTCAGGTGTTATTCTGGGAATTTTTGTCTAAATTATTATTATTAAACTACTCGAACTTTACTGCAATCTTGAATGGTAGGTGACGATGGTGACGATTTGGATTCTGAACATGACCGCCACATTGGAGACTTTCCTTTCAGCCAGTATCAATTCCTGACATCCAATACTTTTGATGAAAGGATCCATGGTTTTGACAACAGGTGGAAGCAGACAAATAATATCTATAACTTTAAGTACCTACTATAGCAAAAGCTATATACTATAGAAATACTCAATTTTAATATCTATTTTGTTTTAGAACAAAGAAGCTAAATAGCTAGGCTCGGGTTACAAATTTAAACATATTTTTTTATATGTTTAAACTAATTAAAATATGTCTTTTTTTATGCATCCCTAATAAAGCTTCATTATTTTATTTTTATTGAATTATTTATCCCATCTCTAAACAAACAATCTGCCTCAGTTTTAGAGTTCTATTTTGACCTTAACAATTTCTCATTAGCGGAGCCCCATTATTAATAACTTGGCGGATATTAAATTTAGAATTTGACAGTACAATATATTTAAAATGACCTGAAAACTGCCAATTCTATAAAATTAATTTAACTGACCTGTTTAGTATTGGTAAATATTCTTTTGCAAATAATGAAGTAATTTTCAATTATAGTTTCAAGAGAATGTAATGGTAATATCATTTAATGAATTTTTCTGTGAACTTGAGAGCTTGGGCTTCTGTAGATTTAATGGCTTTTATCGCAACAATCCCTAGATCCTGAAGGCCTGCAAATAAAAAAACATCTGTCAAAAAACAGATCTCTTTTTAATATATTTAATCAAGTATGTAATTTAATTAAAATCAAGAGTAACTTCAGTAACAACATTATAGAGCGTAAACCTCCATAAACATTATAAACAAGATATAATAATAATTAATAAGTTACAAATCCACCTACTTAATGTTTAACCTACCTATCAATGTACCTACGCGCCTACCCGGAAGCAAAATATTGAAATGTCCTGTAAACTGCTGATTCTCCTATGAAACGATTTAAAGTAAATATTTCAAAATGTAAGGTCATTTTATAGGATAGTTTTTATTATATTGGTATGTGTAGGTATTGTTTTGGGATTAATGTAGCAATTTTCAATTACAATTTTACGGAAAAATCAAAAAATTATCAGTAGCTGATTTTTTATGAGAGAACTTTTAAGGCAATCGACCTATTAAGCCCAGCCCCATTTTTAGTATGTTAATAAATTATTTATGTCATTGACATTATAGATATTAAATTTAGAATTTAAATTTGTAATAATTATCTATTTATTTATCGGCATTATATCTTAAAAGGTGCTCACATACTAGTAGGTATATTAAATTAACAATGACCCGAAAACTATCGATTCTCCTATAAATTTAATTTAACCCACATTTATATTACTCAAATTATTTTGCTAATGCTGGAGCAATTTTCAATTAGGTATTATTTTCAGAATTAATAATTTTTGAATAAGCTTGTCCTCCCTCTAGGAGTCTCCATACGTCATTTAAATAAGTATATTTTTGCTTATTGGACAATTTTTAGTTTTGATGACTTTTATCGTAAGTCTCTGAACCCCGACAGCCTACAAATATTAAAATTCTTGCGCTATCAAACAATAAAACAGATCCCTTGCGGGAAAAATCAAAATATAACACGTGTACTTAATACAAACATTACAAACTGACCTACTCAATATTAAACCTAACTATCAAAGCACCTACTCGGAATCAAAATAAAAAAATAATACGTACACCTACTTGCCAAGCAGGAAAGAAAAAACAAATTACGAGTACTATAATAATGGTGATAAATTTCTAAAAGTTCAAACGAGTTTATTTCAATCAATGTCATTAACTGATAATTAATGGAAAAAAATATATATTGTATTCCTATATGGTCAGTAATTTTCAATTTCTTACACTTCGGCCATTCTGTTGAGCAATTTGTCGTGAGCAATTTTCAAACGTACTGGTACTCATAGAATTAAAATATAAACTATAAACGTTGACTGACGTCACTGGTCAACTTTGGGCGAAAGCGACGCTACAGCCTTGTTTACCAGTACTCGACTCCCCCTTGTTTTCTTGTTGAGGTTTTACGTGGTAGAGTAATTAGGCCTGGTAAAGTCGGCCCAGCTTATTACTTGCCTTTTGACTACTGGCTGGCTAACCCGATTTAGATCGACCTGAGTTTACACTAAGCGAGTAAGTAGATAGGTAGATAGACATTTTTAAAGTGGTGTGTGAGAGAGCTGCTTACACTATCCGCTCGATCTTTTTACTCAACCAACTGTTTACACTGGTCTATATAGTTGATACGCTTTTTCTTGTCTTACTCTACCGTTTAGTTGACTAACGCAAACTAGCCTTAAGGGAATCGGTAGTATGTAGTCAACCTACTTCTTTGTCTTTGGGGATCTTGGTCTGTCATCTGTATTAAAGACAAGATTGTTGAATTTGTTGGACAGGTGATCTATTTTGCATTTATTAAAAATATAGTTTTATATTTCAAGCGTTTATTAAGGTTCGTTGATTTAATAAATTTTACTTTTATTATAAAAACAAATTATGGATAAGACAATGAAAAATAGAGTTTATGTTCTTGTGCAATATGAAGACGGTGTGTATTACATTTGTCCACATAAAGATATAAACTTTAAGGAAAATGGATTAGTTTCGGCAAAATATAATAATGGAGTTAGATATACAGCAACTGTTGTATGTATGAGCTGTAAGTATTTAATATTCATTTGAATTAATAGAATTCAATAACTATTTATTCTTTGTAGCAAATTTAAATTTTCTTAAAAATAAAGAAAAATCGTTATGTAGACTACCTAGTAAGAGTAAGTAGTACCTATATTTTTATATTTATATCAAATATTTTACTATATACAGGCTGTTACAAATTCGCTTCTCACTACAGAGGCTTGGAAATGGTAAGAGATACGAAGTAGCTTAAATGGGGTCAAAGTTGCATAATCAGGGAACCAACATGTGACAAAACGTCTGAATCTGGTTCAGACTGAAGCAGTACAGTATTGGAGGTCATGAAGGTTTGCAAAAAATGTAATAAAATTTCCAGGGTCATATTTAAAAAAATTAAGTTCATGATGGTCCTAAAGAGACGAAACGTTACAAATAAAAATTGATTATGCCATTCGATAGATAGTGTTATTTTTTTCAATATCGCCTCAAACAAGGCTGATATGAAATAAAAACAGATTCCCAAAATTTCGGTTTTTTCAAATATTTCCAAAATTAATCATGTTAACTTTGATTTTTTAGAGGCATAATGTTGGTCTCCTAATTATGCAACTTTGCCCCTATTTAAGCTACTTCGTATCTCTTACAGTTTCCGAAATTCCTGTAGTGAGAAGTGAATTTGTAGCAGCCTGTATAGGAGCTTTTGATGTTTAATTTTATTTACAGTAGAAGCAGAATATAAGACAAAGGCTGATCAACCTTTGAATTGTAAGACTACAAGTAATGGAACTATTAGAACTTCTGTTGAGAGTTTGGTTGAAAATGAACTAGATTTTTCACATAGTATTGAATTACAACCTATGTTCCATGATACCCTTGCAAATGTACATAATGAAACATCAAGTAATGGTAATGTATCATTCACCGCAGTATCTTTATTAATTTGAGATTTGAAAGATATACATTTTTTTTTTTAATTTAAAAGCCTGTGTCTTGAGAAAAAAATATTTGTCTATTGATATATTTATATCTCTAAACATATTTTTATATTGTTAAAGTTCTGCTATAAAGAAACTGGCTCACTCTGTAAATAATATTTTTACAACTAATATTCTCGATACCTACATCTTTAATATTGTGTAAACAATTTTAATTTTATTTAAAAGGGCTTATGACAAACTCCACGGTTATTATCAAACATTCAGAAAAATTTGCAAATAATACACAAGTACTTGTTCCTAACAATATTTCTACTGAGAGTTTTGAGCCACTGGAAGAATCGTCTGAGATCATGGATACTTTGAAAACTATGACGACAGTTGGTAATATGACAAGTACGTATATATATTTTTATACAATATTTTATAGCACCAAAAATATGTTTTCAAATATATGTAAAGCATGGTAGGAGTGCTGCATGAAAAACTAAAAGGTTACTTCTGAGATACTTTCAAAAAGAATAGCACAAATGGCACTTGTGAATCTACAGTTAAAAAGAATATGTTTAGTAACAAATGGCCTAAAAAATGGGGAGAAAAGCACTTATTTTCAATGCTAGAATAAGGTGTAGAATACATCTGAAAGAATGCTTAAAGATTAGAAAATAAATATATTTAGTACTACCTTAAATAGCATGTGGCATGAAGACTTCTAGAAAACTATATATTTCACAGTTCTGAAAGTTTGTATACGGGGGTTAATTGGATAAAAATATTGGCATCTTTTTAGCACTTTCAGTTACACCAGAAGTAAATATCAATCCTCTTATATTAAATGGAACATATTTTTTAAGTAATTTTGAATACTATATTAAATTTTAGGGTTGGTTTTGTAAGCAGATTGTATGGCAAAAATAAACCATTTTCAATTTATTTTGATTAAAAAAAAATTAAAAATTATTCATAAAAAGAATGATTTTCACTGACCTTATAAATCTGTAAAAATTTCCTAATTGATTAGGTTTCGGTATAGGGAACAGTAATACATGTCTAAAGACAATAAAAAATTTCCTTCTAATAGTACCTATTATAAAATTCAGGAAATTTTCTTTAATATAAATGACTTACTGGTATTTGAAATTATCATAATTGAACACTTATACTCCGCGGTCGAAATTATAGAGAGTGACTCATCACTAGCTTTTGGACTAGTAAGGGGGATGAAGTGTGCTGGGAACGAAAATCCATTGGCGTGTTTGCGTAAAAGGCAACAAAATATAGAAAATATTGAAAAAAGATAATAAAACATAACATCTAATATTTTCTACGGTTTGCTGTAATCGGCATTTTGATCCATTTTAATTATTACAGCATTTTAAAACGTCCCAGTTGTGTTTTTTTAATTTATAAATTTATTATAGCCATGGAATTAGACCCCTCGTCTACGCTTATGCTATGACGTTTCTCAGGACTGGTAAATCAAGTCCGTTTACACCCACTAAAAAAGCATTTCCCTATTCCCTACCAAGTGCAAAAGACAGAGATAGAATAGAGATCGAAGTTCAGTGTAACTCAGTCTATAAACGATTATAGATTCTATCGATGTGCGTAGCGAGCGGCACAAAGATAAATAATATTGAACCGTATAAAAATCATTTTATATTTTATACGCATTATGGTAATAGTGACTTTATATTATGTCTGAATCACTCTCTATAATTTCGACCGCGGAGTATAGTTTCCAACATCCTATAAGATATCCATTGATATGTTTTATAATTGCCAATGTAAAATTTGGGTTATCCAAACTGGTATTTATTTGAGATGGAGCGGAATACATGCATGTATGATTTTTATTTTTTTAATTTTAATAACTTGAAAACTGTTAAATTTTGACATAGCATTTGCTTATGAAACCTACCCTAAAATATAATGTGGGATTTAAAAATAAAATTAAAAATAATGTTCACTTTAAAATAAAGAGAAGTGTCTAGCACTTCTGATATAACTAGAAGTATTGTTATGCCAGAAGTGCTGGACAGATGCCAGTATTATTATCAAATCAAAATACGAGAAAATTATGACAAACTCCTGTATTTTCAGAATTCAAAAATATGAAATTTTCTTGTAATGATTAACTAAAGATCTTCGAATCACAACCTGTACAGCTTTTGTATTCTGTTACAGCTTCAGAAGACAATTATGATAGTGGGTCTGAATACATACCTTCTGAAACTTCTTTTGATAGCTCAAAAACAAATGGATCTATAATGAACAATGAACCTGAAATTCAAAGGAAACGTAGAAGTAACACTAAAAGCTCATCATTTAGTGACATGTCTCTAGTAAACACAAAATATGTTTGCGATGATGGAAATATGTATGTTGACGTATCTGATGGTAAGAGAGGTTTACAAAAAAAGACTTACTGTATGTATTGCAATAAAATGCAAACGAAGTTTGCTCGTCACCTTGAATTGGTGCATAAAGATATAGATGATGTAAAATCTTTTGCACTATTACCCAAAAAATCTAGTGAAAGAAGAAACATAATTGATAGACTTAGAAAGAAGTCGCAGCACTTTTTTAAAACAAATAGTACTGTTAATGACGGGGAATTGCTCGTTTGCAGGAGGCCAAAAGCATCATTAAAAAGAAATGCATGTGATTTTAAACTTTGCCATAAGTGTAAAGGTTTTTTCGCCAAAAATAATATTAGACATCATGCGAAAGCTTGCTTTGGTTATAATGGAAAAAAAAATAGAAACCTAATGGTAATGAGTCGTAGAGCAGCAGGACGTATTCATGAAGATGCATCAAAAACGCTAAAACACGTCTTCTCTGTAATGCGTGAGGATGACATTATACGTACAATTCGCTATGATCGCTTACTAATATTATATGGCAATAAAATATGCTGCAAATATCGATTACAGCACCAACATGACATGATTAGGGCACATTTAAGGTTATTGGGACGTTTATTGATTTCACTAAAAGAAATTAACAAGGATATTATTGACTTTGCTGATTTATATGATCCAAAATACTATGATTTTGTAATTTTAGCTATAAATAAGGTTGCTGGGTTCGATGAAAACACAAACACATATAAAGCACCATCTGCAGCTTATTGCCTTGGTACCCTGATAAAAAAAATTGGTAATTTCCTAATAACGGAATGCATAAAAAGTCATAACATTGTACAAAAAGGAAACACAGAAGATTTTTTAAAACTGTTGGTGGATGATATAGGAATATCTGTCAACAGAACAGTAATGGAAACACAATCCCAGCAAAAAAGGCGAAAGAAAACTGAACTGCCTTCTATCTCTGATATAAAAAAATTATTGTCATTTCTAAAAAAGAAGAGGAATTCAGCCTATGAAAAATTACAAGTAAGGTTCTCCTTTGATGAGTGGTTAAATTTAGCACAAACAACCCTTACGTCAGTTCAAGTTTTTAACCGTCGTCGGGCAGGAGAAATAGAGAGAATGTTTATTGAAGACTTCGAAAATTTTGAAATGATTAATAAAAACGAATTAAAAACTTTGTCGAAAGAATCACAGTCTCTAGCAAGAAAATATGTAAGATTTGTCATTCGAGGAAAACGAAACAGAACTGTACCAGTTCTCTTACCACAGGATTTGTTAACATGCATTCAAACTATATTAAAATTTAGAATTCAGGCCAAGGTTCCCAATGAAAATCGTTATGTATTTGGTATACCTGGATACGAAAAAAAACGGTTTAAGTACTTAAGGGCAAGTTATTTATTACGAAAATTTAGAAATGAATGTGGAGTTGATTTTTCAGAAAATATTACAGGAACAAAATTAAGAAAACACATAGCAACAAATTGCATAACTTTGAATTTATCTGATAACGAAATAACAGATGTGGCAAATTTTATGGGCCATGCCGATAAAGTTCATAAAGAACACTATCGTCAACCTATAGTAAGTCGTGAAATTTTGCGTATATCAAGAGTTTTGGAAATGGCACAAGGAGGTGATGATAACACAGATTCAGAAGTCTCAGAGAATGAGGATAACTCCTTTAATGATTATGCCAGTACATCAGATTATCACATAAATACCCCACCAAAAAAAAAGAGATCAAGTAAGTATTTTAAGGAAATTAATATGAGAACTTATAATAAGTACCTAATTGTCTTAAAAATATTCAATTGCAATTTATTATCCAAGGGTCGAAGGCAATTTAGTAACTACTATTGTGGGTTAATTTAGAGGAAGTATGTAAAACGGTATTAGGGATGATTATGCCACATTTAAAAACGTTTAGCACACTAGCAAAAAAGTTATTAGAACATTTTGTTGAAAAGTCAAACTTTAAGGTTGTTACTCCATTATTTTTTAGTTTTATAAAAAAATGTTATAGGAGTTTGTGGCATTAATTGTTCAAGTAGAATTAATTCCCCAATTATTTCCTTATTTTTTTACGATTTTATTGCAGCTTCACCATATGGCTGTGTTGGTACTAAGAAGAGATGGAGTCAAGAAGAAAACGAAGTAGCTTTAAATTTATTTCAAAAATATATAGACACAGAAACTTACCCATCTTTAAAAAATATTCAGTATCTTTGTAGCAAATATAAATGTTTGGCAAATCGCTCACCATGTGTAGTAAAAACTTGGATTTCAAATAAAATTAAACAGAAAAGGAGTGGATCTCAAATAAAACAATTTGTTCTGTAATAAGTTATGTATACATCGTATTTCTTATTCAACATGTGAAATAAAATATTGAAATATAATCATGTTATTTGTTATATAGGGTGTCCGGAAAAGAATATTACATCACTGGCAGGTGCTGTGGAACATATAGGAGGGATTTAACTAGTTTCGTTCAGATGAAAAAGTTACCAAAAAAATAAATTATAGGCATTCAAACTTAAATTAACTACAATTTTTGCTTGGGGTGGGTCCAGGGCTGCAAGCTCTATGGAGGCTTTTAAAAAAAGCCTATTTATCGATATAAAATTTGAACACGTTTTGATTTGAATTAAAAAAAAAACGCAGTCATCAACTTACCAATATGACAAAGATGATAAATCTTTTTTCTGAGGTGGGTCGTGAACACCCCTGCCCCTCCCTAGCTACGCCCATGTTTTTATCTAACACCTATCACATTTGTATACCTACTTAAGTACATCTACTTTATTCAACATAATTGTTTTTATCCATATATGTGATATTCAAATCTATGTTTTTATTATACTAAATTTATTAACATCTTTTCATAATCAGAGAAAATGTCCATTATATTTTTGAAATATGTTAGTCTGATCTTACATTTTCTTATATTTTCTTTAAAATGTCTCAGAGGATGAGAATTGGTACCTACTACCAAACCAACCAACACCAACAATATAATTTTCTCGTCATTAATTAATAAATTCAGTGAAACAAACTCGTTTAAACTTTTTTTACAAATTGCTAACAGTAGTATTTGCAATTTGTGGTTTCCTCTAAGTAGGTATATGTATACTTTTTATATTTTGCTTTTTGAGTAGGTACTTTGGTAGGTAGGTTAAATATTGAGTAGGTCGGTTTATAGTAAGTACATGACTACATCTTTTGATTTTTCTCAGAAGAGAATTAAGAGATCCGTTTTATTGTTTGACATAGCGGAAGAATTTTGATATTTGTAGGCCGTCGGAGTCTAAAACTAAAAATTGGCCGATATGCAAAAATATACTTAATTTAAATGATGTATGAAGACTCCTAGCAGAAGGAGAAGCTTATACAATAAATATTTCTGAAAACTGCTCCATGTGCAAGATAATATTGAGTACTATAAATATCGGTTAAATTAAATTTTTAGGAGAATCGGTAGTTTTCAGGCCACTATTTAATTTAATATACCCGTATGTAGGTAGGTACATACCTTTTAGGATATACTGGAAATAAATAAATGAGAAAAGGGCGTCGCCAGCCAATTGGCAAGGGGGCAAGATAAAAGAGAGGATGGGAGAAATATAAATTATAGGTAGAAATAGGTACAGGGAATTAATTTTTTTTAGAAATATTTTTAATACAAGAAAAACAAATGTAAATAACAAAAAATAAGTAAATTCAACGAAAAACATGATCTCGGATTTTTTGAAAATTTGTCGACCACTATTAATAAAATCTTTATGGTTGTCAAAAATAAGCTTTCTGTGTATACTCATAATTGCTAGTCATCGAAACGATTTTGTACCATAGTAGTATTTCTCAGCCAGGTTTTTATTCTTAATCAGTTCAGATTTTCCAATCTTTTCCTGTTTCAGGAAGTTTTCTGTCGCTATAGACCGATAATAAATATTAACTAAGTTTGCAGTTTATCTATAAATTAAAAACAAATACAAACATTTATTACTCTAGTATTTGCAAAAGAACATTTGACTACCTAGTTTGTAACCTACCTACCAAATTCTAAATTTAATATCTCAAATTCATAATAATGGGGCTCGGCTTAATGAGAAATTCCTAAGGTTAAAATGGATATCTAAAACTGAAGCAGATTTCTTTGTTTACAGTATCAACAAAGGGATAAATAATTCAATAAAAATAAAATAATAAAGCTATTAAGGATGTATAAAAATGTATATATTTTAATTAGTTTAAACATAAATAGATTTAAATTTGCAACCGAGCCTAGCTAGCATCTTTGTCCTAAAACAAAATAGGTATTAATAAATATTTCTGTAGCATATATTCTGTGCTATAAGTAGGTACTTACCGTTATATCGTTGGATATTCTTTGCCTGCTTCCACCTATTTCCAAAACCATGCAGAAAAAATCCTTCCATCAAAAGTATCAAATGTCAAGGATTGATACCAGTTGAACGAAAAGACTTTCCAATGTGACAGTCATGTTCAGAATCCAAATTGTCACCTACCATGTCAAGGTTGCGGTGAAGACCAAGTAGTTGCTTTTTGAAGTATCTAATTACGCAATTTAGACAGAAATTCCCAGAATAAAACCTGAAATCTTTAATGCCTAGTTATCATTCATTATCACTTCCACTTTCTATTGTGTACAGCCAAAATTGTTAAGTATCTAGCGGACTAAGTTAATTGTTAAGTTACTTCAACTAGAAACTTTGCCTATATTGGCTGGATATATAAGAATGTACTCACCTAGTCCAATTAGCAGTTACTTTTTGTTTTTTTTTTTTTACCTTGATCAGGTTAATGGAACAATAGGTGTATCTATTTAATCTGAATCTATTCCCTCGGTTGATACCTGCGGACAGTTATTTAGATATTTATAACTGAAAAAAATGTTTTATATACTTACTAATCTTAAGGTTGTGTAAATGAAGATATACCTTTGGATGAGAAGGGGGTTGGTTGATCCAGAAACAAATCTACACTAGGTATAATATAAATTATCACTCATAAATTTAATTATATTATATTATTTAATCTGTTCAACAGATAGTTATAATTAAATTTACGATTGATAATTTATATTATACTGTAGATTTGTTTCTGGGTCAATCAACCCCCTTCTAAATAGTCTAGAGTTCTAGAGCCAGTGTTGCCAGATGACTACCAGATTGGTTGAAAATTCTACAAATCAAATAAATTTTTTGCATATTCCAACTTAATCAGTGGCGGGTTTCGTGATTGGTCCAAGTGTATTTTTTTTCGAAATTAACTATACTTATATTTTGATGGAGCATTGCAAGTACATATAAATTTTTTTAATAAACCATTATTTATAAAAAATAACAAAAATACAATATATAAGAGTCTAACAGAAAAAAATATACTTATTACTTTTTTATATAACTAAAAAAAAATTATATTTATTATTGGTGGAATTTATTATAGTTTAGAGTAGTACTATCTTATACTTACCCTCTTGCAGTAATAGTATTGTTTTTGTATCGTATTTGACATGCGCTAGAAGACTGAAAGAAGTTGCAAAATAGAGTCACTATGAATTAAGTGACTACTGCAAAATTGTAATTACATAGAAGGGATGGTCATAAAATCACCTTATTCACCGTTCTAATTTAAAATTTTATTTAAAACCTTTTTTATTAAATAAAGTATCAGATGTGCCCTTGTCCAACTGAATTCTGCAAAATTGACCGTGACAATGAAAAAATCTGCAATTCTGCAAATTGCCAAATTTTGTTGTAGAATTCTGCATTTTGCAGAAAAATCTGCAAATCTGGCAACACTGCACTAGACAAGGAGCACAAAATTTCGGACAATTCGTCAATAGTAGAAATTACTTATTGTTTTTACCGTTAGGGTCGCTAGTATTCCTTGTACACTGACATATTTTCATTATTATTTATTGATTTATTTATCTAATACAAAGTAACCTACATTATTTATTTTAAAATTTTTAACATCACAAATACGGCAAGATTGATTTTTAATTCAAACTGCCACTTTCTTTATATTCTCTCCACTATTTCGGTGTATATGGGACACTAACGCCCTCTAATTTGGTTATGTAGTATCTATCCATGGTCTCTCGTCTCTACACCGGAGTACGTTCACTGACCTTTGCTAATAGAGTTGGAATGAATAACTCCTATAGTAGTACTCCTCATTTTATAGATCAATATTAGCTTAAAAATAGCGAACCGAAAATATATCTGTTTTAATAAATTTGTAGAAAGTTGATGCGAACAATTAATTTCTTCCTTTGCGTGTCACCCTGTCACCCATAAAACTCACAGTAAACCACAAGTAAAGTTTGTACAAATCTTGGACCTAGTCAAACTTAAATTTAAATTTACATGAATAAAATATTGAGACACAGATATACTTTGCCACATTAATAATAGTTTTAATTAAAGTATTAAAGTTATTACAATTTCTTAATAATTAATTATTACATAAGAATAATATTTTTGGCAACAGTAGGTAATTGCAAATATAATTTTTTTTTTCGAAATAGCAATCAAAACAGATGCATTCGAAGCATGCCTTACTTGTAGATACTTTAACCACTTGTCTTCACAATTTAAATATCTAACAGAGGAATTTAGTTTACATTAAAAGTGTTCAAGTTTTACGTAAACGTAGGATTGCACATAATTAATTGAATTGTAAAAATTATTACCTACCTACTAGAAAATTTTACTATAGTAAAGGCATATTTCAGGACATGTCCCCGAAATAACCAATAGATAAAAAATGTAACTGACCCCAAAACTGCCATGTGTCCTACCAACTGCCGGTATATCTCTGAAAATGTTCTAATAACTGCCGATTGATAAAACTATACCTATTGCATTATAAAAATTACTTTTTCATAATTTATCTTCTCACTTAAATTTCAATTTCTCTTGTTTCTAAATGAAATCACATTTTAGTTCAAAGTCCACAGAGAGTCACAGAGTTACTTTGATCTGAAAGATTATTAGACTTTTCCTTTTGGGTAGATATTTATTCATAGGTAAGTACCTACTATTCTAAAAAAAGTAAATAAATTTTTATCAGCTCCAAATTACCGTTTGTGAAGAGTAAAAATGCTACGATTTTATTTATTCCACTAGAATAGCGTTATAAATAATTTTCTTCTACTAGTGAAGATATATGGAACTACTATTTTGTTGTTTTAATTTAGATTGCTATGAGGAGAGAGAACTTATAAGAATTTAGATTTGTGTATAAATGTCCTGAAACCTTACATTAGTTCTTTAATTAGAATAGTCCTAGAAACTGCCACTATTTACTCTTTTCGATATTTCACTAAAGCGAATGAATATATTTTGAAAATTGTCCTCTAGATAAACAAGGGGATGTATAATGTATAGAATTAGGGGATAAATTAAAGGTCTTATAAAATGTCCTTTAAAATGCCATTTGACAAATATATATATAAGGTA